AGGTCTCCCCCGAGGACCAGGGTTGACCTGGTAGACTCAGTCCAGGCAGGTCCATTCCCCCCTCCCAGACCGAGCCAAGTGTCCCTGCATACGTCCCAGGATTCAAACAGCCAACTCATGTTATTTAAAGTTTTACTTTTTTTTTTTTTTATGATTGAGTGTTGACCTGCATGAATGTTTGTGTACTATGTGACTGTCTTGTGTCCATGGAAGAGGGCATCAGAGTCCCTGAAACTGGAGTTACAGGTGATTGTGAGCCATGGCGTAGGTGCTGGGAACTGAACCTGAGTCCTCTGCAAGGTCAGCCAGTGCTATTAACCACTGAGTCACCTCTCCAGCCCCACACTTTCCAGTGTTTGATACCTAGGAAGCTGCTCTACATTTCATCCTTCAAAAAAAGTTGACTTTATTTCTCTCTCTCTCTCTCTCTCCAAATGTACATGGTGAGACCAAGTGAAGGTCAGGTGTTTTCCCCAGTCCCTTTCCAACTTCTTTTTAAAGACAGAATCTCTTATTGAGCTTGGAGCACACTGATTGGCCAGCATGGCTGGCCAGTGAACCCCAGGAATTCTCCTGTCTCCACCTCCTCAGTGCTAGGATTACAAGCACATGCTGCCATGTCTACCCCACCTCCACTTTGTGAGTGCTGGAGATTGAACTCAGGTCCCTCACATTAGTGCAACAAACATTTTACTGACTGAGCCATCTACCAAGAACTAATTGGTAGCTTTTTTTTTTAAAAAAAATATACTAATCATGAACTTAGCTGAGAAGAAAATCTTGGAAAATATTGCAATTCAAAATAGTTTATAATTGCAATGCCTAAGATGGGGCTGGAGAGATGGCTCAGTGGTCAAGAGAACTTGCTGCTCTTTCAGAGGCCCTGAGCTCAGTTTCCAGTACCCATACTGGGTATACACACATGGAATATTCTCTCTCTCTCTCTCTCTCTCTCTCTCTCTCTCTCTCTCTCTCTCTCTCTCTCTCTGTCCCTCCCATTCTCTCACACACATGCACATAAATAAAAATAAAACAAATCTTTAAAAATGTCTAGAAATAGATTAAGCAACACATTCACAGCGAAAACTGAAAAAGTGATTGAAGAATACACGAGGGATGGAAACACCTCCCATGTTCATGGATTGGTAGAATAATATTGCGAAAACGGCTCTATTACCAAAAGGAATGAATATACAAATTCATTGCAATCTACATCAAAATTCCAACGACATTCTATATGCTAGAAAAAAATTCATGTGGACACACACACACACACACACACACACACACACACACAAACACACCACTAAATAGCCAAAACTATTTCAACTAGGTGTTGCAGGTTTCATAATATTTGTCAAATTATACAACAGAGCTATAGTAACAAAGTCAATGTGGCACCAAATATAGACCCAAGGAGCAATGGAATAGAATAGAGGACCCAGAAATAAACTATACAGCTAGACTCCCTAAATTTTGAGAGAACTGCCAAGAATACACACAGTAGAGAGAAGATTAGCCTCCTAGCAAATGGTTTCAGAAAACTTGGCTATTCTCATGTAGAATTGGATTCTCCCTGCATAAAACCCAAATTTAAATGGATGAAAGCCTTAAGGAAAAATTAAAACTGGTGGGAAAATAGGTGAAACTTCAAAAATGTAGGTGTAGGCAGGGACTTTCTGAAGAGGCTGCCAGGGGCACAGGAGGCAATCCCAAGAATTGACAAGTGGCATTCTACAGGATCGAGAAGCTCCTG